AACCTCCAGACCCGCCGCCCCACAGCCCGGAAGACCCACGCCAGCCATCGTATGCCGGCCGTGAAAGCCTTCGACAATACAGTGATCAATCTGTTGTGTTATGGCAGCATGCAGCTCTGCAATTAATCAGTTCAGATCTCTGGGGGAACTGGCTTATTCCTTTCTGTCCAAAACCGATGTGCAAAATACTCCAAATCGAGACATTCCAGAGCAGATATTTCAAGTGTTCTGAACTCAGAATAAAGCCCTCCATGCCCTGAGTCTGAGCTTGGAACAAAAGAGGTGCATTGTATATCATACTGTTTTAAGTCTTCTGAGAACAATGAGAACTTAAAGCAAATCCTTGCTCATTCATTTTGTTCAAGGGACACAAAAGTAGATGGGGTACTAAAAGTAGTCTGTGCTGAGTGCTATCTACCATCCAATCTACAAAAAATTATCAAAGAGGATGCTTTCTAATACATACTAATGAAAGCAACGCCCATTTGCAATCTGTTCCTCTAAAGGCCGTGTACATTGGAATCACAATCTACTATCATTTCAGAATGAAGCAAGCCTTTACTTGTTGAAAAGGCAGTAGCATGGGAACATGGATCTGGAGTGACAGTAGCATATAATGGATGCTGTTGGATACAGGACTATGTAGTACTTTGGATTCAAAGGGGAAAAATGTTTCAGAGCATGTACATTATTCATATAGCACCTGTCTGCAACTCCCCAAAACAGATGCATCTTTTTCCGGGATCACGTAGCATAATCCCAGGAAGGTATGTGAAGGTTTGCCCAAAATACTATCTAAATGCTTTCATGTGCTCCAAAGGACCTTCTTTCCTTTGAATCCAAAATGCTACCTAGTCCCTTCCAGTAACATAATTCAATTCTCACATTTCAGGAAGAACAGAAGCTTTGTCCATCTTACTTTTTCTAACGGATACCTTAAATTTAGCTAAACAGGAAGACATGATTTGGCCTTGTGGGTCCGATCTCACCAGCCTTTCCTATTCCTTTCCCTCCTCATTCCACCAGTCTCATGCTCCATAGACCCTGTTGAAGTGTGATCTCAAAAGACGTCTTCTGAGGGACGGCTTCCCAAGTTAGTCCCAAGACATATGGATTCCTCTTACCTGTTCCCTCTGTGGAGCGCAGCTTAAAGTAACTACCCTCTCTTACCAAAAAGTCTTTCTGTCAGGGAGTGGAGGCCAACCCCAAATGACTTCTCCTCAGGCTTTAGGGACCTGGATAACAACAGCAGTTTAGAGAAATGAATCAGAACCATGTGTCTATTGAAGAAACAGTTGCCTGCACAGTTTAGCTCCATATCTTGCTGATAAGCCAAAATAGAGATTGGAAGCATGAACAACACTTCCTTACTCCAGCATACTTTTCTGATGGTTCCCATTTTTCTGCTGCTGTGAAGAAAAGCTCACTGTCAAACCAGGAGCATGCAAAATCTCTATTGTTTCCATAAATCATTTTTCTCCTAAACCGGCAGAGTGTTTCACTGATCTGCCAAGATCTGCCCTAAACTATACCTTTGACTCATGTGCTAAAAAGACAGATTCTCTTTTCTAACCAAAGTACAGAGCAACTGAGACTAGATTTTTAAACAGGGTCCCCACTTTCCCTTCTCTTACCTTATTAGAACCATGTAACCTGGCATGGCTCCAAAAGAATAAATTAAACAGCAAATTAAGGATAAAATTAAAAAATAATGCAGCATTGTGTCACATTTCTCCCCTCTGCTGCACTGTCCTGGCACTGCTGAGCCATTTCCCAATAGAAATCCTGGTGCTGAAATGCAGGAGCAGTTTGTAAGAACCTGCCAAAACATCAATAGAAATTATTTAAAGCTGTATTGGGAGTAGCTTGCTCTTAATCTCCAGTGGAGATTGGTGGTGGTTTTATAATCTCAAGAATACCAATACCCCACCAACACTGGCAGGGCAACCTACTGTAGATAAACAGGGAGCAAACCCCACACTCACTAGCACTGATGATGTTACCCAGTTGGGTCATGAAATGTCTACAAGCAAACAACCAAGCTCAGAGAGCGCCAAAGACTCCGCAGTTCAACCCTGAGCTACAGATATTCTCTTCTATTGGAGTCTCAAGAATGTTAATGCTCTGCAATGTTGTCCTAGCAAACTCAGCCTGCATTTTGTAGCTGGCAGATTCTAGGAGTTTCCTTCTTTTAATCTGAGCAAAGAAGAAAAACACCTACAAATTAAGCAGGCAAGAGGATAAAGGAATTGCAGGGAAGCCATTGTCACATGCCAAGTGTGACTTGGCACACTATCCCACCACTAGAACAGATTTAGATGTCAAGATTAGATTTCACTTTTATCCAATATTAACTTGCTAAAAAATGTGAAACGTTACATTCAAAATTTGAAATTATGAATGTAAAGTCTCACATTTTGTAGCAAGTTGACATTAGATACTAGTGTATTGAAATGAAATATCTGACTTGGAGCAAATCTGCTCTGCACTTTTAAACTGTTCCTATCCTGTGCTCATACCAGCTTGATCTTAAGGTATCTTAAGCAAATCCTGTTTGGACTGAAACACTGCGACCACAACTTTCAGTTCAGACTGCAAGCTACCATGCCTTCCCATTGGGGAATTCCCTTGCTCTTGTGCTCTCCCACTTTTGTGTTTCAGAAAAGCAATGGCCAATCATTTTCCTTCCTATGGGTAGATCTTATTCTGTGTGTGTGTGTGTGTGTGAATTTATATATATTAAAGCATCAAAATGCACATGTGTGAAGGCATAGCAACCAATCTTAAAATAAAATTTCCTTTCTTATGCCCTGGTTGGTCTACTGTGACTTTTGGATCAACATTTACCAGTGGTACTGTAATGGCATGGTTGTTATATCACTTGCCTTGTAAACAGAAGGTTGCTGGTTCAAAATCTAGCTGAAGTGTTTTTAATAATTACTATCTTTCTTTCCCTGATCTAGCTATCTGGTTTCCAAGTTGAACTGAATTCTGTGTCATATTTACTAGAATGTAGAATGCTAATTTTAATGGCTATGAACCTTTCTAACCAAGACATTTTTAATTTTGCCCATCTTAAAAAAAAATCTACTTTATTTTTGGTTTATTGTTTTATGTCAAGTACATTCTTATGTATGTAACCTTTTTAGCACTGATGTTAAACCTTATTATTTGGTACAAATAGGGCTTTTCTTTTTTCATGGTCCATGTCAGCCTTTAAGTTTTATCCTCATTCATTTAATATCCCGACACTGAATCATACTCCTGTATATATTCCACAATCAACTCTAAAGAGTCCTTGGGATAAGTACAACATCATCCGCTTTGTGTATGTATGCTTTTTTCTAAATAAGTCCGGCAATGCATCGTTTCATCATTTTCCCAGCGACGCCTACATTTCTGCCTTTCTACCAAGTGAAATCCTTCTATCTCAGTTTGTCTATTTGCTTAATATGCTTAATCTTATTCCATTTTCTTAGTCTGCGCAATACATTAAATCATAAACTAACTAAACTAAACTAACTAAACTTAACTAACTAAACTAAAGTAACCAGATGTTAAGCCACAAAGAACAAAGGTCAAAGTTAACTAAGATTAACATGTTATGTTAAATACAGCTGCTGGATCTTTGGCTTATCTGGTTAAGCATCTTAAGCCAGTGTTGTCCAAACTTGGCCACTTTAAGATGAGTGGACTTCAACTCCCAGAATTCCCCA